CTTTCAGGAAATCTTGCCTTGCAATCAGAGCCCTGAGGTCTGCTTTTTGTGTACGTGAAGATAACTATAAATACATACCTAGAGCTCAATAAAGCCTTTTGTTATAATGGGGGTTGGATGTTTGCTCCTCCTATTGGTAGTGTATGGGACTGCCTGAAGAACAGTAAATCTACAGTGAATAACCCCCATGTTCTTGGCCTAATTCACTTCCATGTGAGGGGATACTGAAGCACTCTTTCAGCTCTCTGTGAATCTATTTCACAAAACCAAAATCTCAGCTCACATTCAGAAACCCTATTTAGCTAGCAAACACAGAATAGTGTCTACAGTGATGCTGATGCCTGGCAATTTTTCCCTGGAGTTTCTCAGCTCCATGCTCATCCTGTCCTCCTCGTTAGAACAGTGCTAATAAGCTGGTACTCCAAAGTTTGGGAAAGTAAAACCCTGGAATGCCATACAATTCCATTTAAAACCACACAAAAGACAGCAAAAACAGCTAACTTCCAGCTTTTGAGTACGGAGGCCTGAAGAAGCTTATGGTCCTACCTTCTTATAATTGCTTTTATGGAAGTTTTGGTGGTGCTTGGGAAACTAGGGATCCAGCATTACTGCCACCTCTGTAACTCTGTCCGTCATTTATTTCTGAACAAGTTCAGACTAGGTTTAGACTTGCCCTACCACTCCTTTCACTATGGCCTTACTTCATGCAGTGCAGAGGGAAGTCACTCTGCCATTAAGCCTTTGTGGATAGAGCGAGAAAAAGAAAACAGGTTAGGCCTATGGGAAAACACCAAGACAATGCCCTGCCTTGGGTGGGGAAGTGGCACTTAAGGAGAAAAGGGGCTAGTGAGGTCTTACCTGAAAATCCTAAAAAATAGTCTTGAGCTTAAAAGATTCAAGACAGATGTATTTAAATACTCCAGTAAAAACTCAGAAGTATAACAGCCACCATGTGCTGTGATGAAAAGTCAGTAGGTAATAGTTACCTACATGAACAGGTAAGTGATGCTACATGCACATTAGCATAGTCATACTCCTTGAGCCTTCATCTTTTCAAAACCAGCTCTCTTTAGAGGCTTTTGCGTGTTCAGCAGAAAGACTTTGTCCTCTTTTAAAAGCACAAACCAGCATCTCCCTCTGAAGTAAATTTTTCATAAATTCTCCTTCCTTAGAGACGTCTTTTGGTGCACTCTTATTCCAGATAATTATGACCTGTTCTATGTCTGCTTCTAAATCCTAACAGAACCCACACTGGTGCAAGCTAGATGGCTGACCCATTTCTGAATAGCACCTGAAATGGTTCCTTGACCTTCATCTCTAGCTCTCATCATGGTTGTTGCTTGAGGACTCCAGGACCTGCTCATCCACCTTCAGCTTATGCTAAAAAAGGGAGTCATGTGCCTTTGGAAAAATGCTAACAGAGACTGCCTTTAATGGAAGATACTCCATGGAAGCAATCAGTTCAAGACATTAGTTCTCAGAAGGCACATACTGTTTGAGAAAAACCAGCAGTAAGAAGAAACAGCCTGTACAGCGTTTCTCACAAAACATGAATATATTCTCTTAACTTTCACAGAGTCATCTGCAAAACATTTTACAAAACACTTGTAACTTGAAGTGTATGTATGGATAGAGCTTAATTGTATGCTTAGAAACTGAAAGAAACACACCTCATTTCAGGTATTTAATACATCCTTTCCGTTCAGCCAGTTTGGCTTAAGTTGTACAGCAGACACCATTTCACTATAAACAGAACTGCAGTATACATTAAAACACTCTTAACAACCAAGCTGGTCTAAAAGAACGAAAAGCTTGTTTTGCTACGCTAAACGCAACAAGTACTTCTCGTTCTGGCTTGCTCATATCCAAAAATGAAGACGGACTGGGGATATACTTGTTGTTTACAGATCAGGGTAAACACACAGAAGGAGAAAGAACTGTTTAACCTAAAGACCAGAATAAATGGCTACAAATCAATTGTGAGTATGTTTAGGAAATTAGAAGAAGGTCCCTAGCTTTCAGAGTTATCAGGTTCTGGAACAGCCTTACAATCAGCACAGCGGAAGGAAAAGACCTACCAATCCAAAAATGGATTATCTGATACAGTGGTTGTGCTAACATAGGAGTAGACCTGATGACCCACGAGGTCGTTCCAGTTCTTTACTCCTGCAAAGGTTATTCCTACAATTTGTTTTAGGTATCCATATGTTTTGCAAGATTTTCTTTGCAGAATCCACATGTCCTTGGGAGTCTGCTGAATGCTTTCCTATCTTTCACAGGCTTCAGGTAATGCTGTGAGCAAAGCTGAGTTTTGATCTCTACAGTGGAGTAACAGAAGAAGTGATCATGGGACAGATGACACACAGTCAGCTTTAAGGGAGGATTTGTTTCTCAGGTGTGTGGTAAAGCTACAAAGGGCAAGCAGGGCAAGCCTTCCCCTTTTTCTGCAGGTGATCTCAGGCCACCATTCCTCCCAGCACTCCACAGCACTGGTTAAGCACTGTACAGCTCTTTGCAGCCTGCTGGCATAGTGGGATATGGCTGGCTCTGTGACCCAAGGAATTAGACAGCCGTTTAATGAAGCTGGGACAATGACATGGGGGTGTACTAATAAGCTATTCAAGCTATGAGAAGCCTCTTGGGAACCTGCTTGTGAAGCAAATAACTGAACTGAGGTGTGGCCTGACCTCACCCTTGCTCAATCACCGTGTGGTCACATTTTGGTGCTGGGGTTGTTGCCGTTCAATACCTCGTTAGTGCAGGGAGGAACAGACCAAGTATAACACTAGACCTTTGCATCAAGTAGACAGTTTAAATGTGTCCCCAGACTGAGCCAATGAAAAGCAAAAAACACACCTACAGCATTAATTCTATACATTAATATAGTTCTACGAGTGTATCTCAAAAACTGAGCTCTACTGGGTACGGACTGCTGTTTATTCAAATGATTATTCCAGATACAACAGAACGGCTAGAGTGATTTATGTTGTTCCACCTAATTAACCAACAAACAAAGGCAGAAAAGGTCTGTCTTTCCAGATTGAAAGCAATGCATTTAATTCAGTAGAAATGAAAGCTGATATTGTTTTAACTTTGGCAGATGCTCTATGGAAACTGCTAGCAATTAAATGTGTTATGTTCACTGTTGTAAAATGTTCAAAACTGCTTGTATTGATTGATTATGAACAGACTAGGTCTGTATTGAGAAATAAACACCATCTATCAAGAGTGTGAAAATACATCTCTACTGACTGTAGAACAGTTGGCTATAAAATGAAAAGAGCAAACTCTTCCACCACTACTACTGTTTTGTTTCACAGCAGTACCGTAGCATATGATTTAACACTCAGTTAAATAAGCTACCTTCATAAAGTCATTTTTACATTCTGATTTGTAATTGGTGCAATTAAGAGTGAGACTTAGAGGTTACCATGTGGACTTTATCATTCAGAAGGATTTCTAATATGCTACCCCTCTTTCTTTTAACTCCCTTTCATTGTACAGTTGGGCACACTAGTTGCATTGCCCTTCTTAGCTCTGGCTGCTATGTGTAAACAGAGCCCCGTCACCTCCTGCTAGTACCTGCATCAACTGTGTTCTATCCCACGGTTTCACCCTGATCAGACTGGCTGTGCTAATAGCGCTTGGTTCACTGCGAGTCACATCTTATTGCTAACAAACAGAGCCCGGTTCTGCTGGGTACTCTCCAACAGGCCTCGCTGGTGTGTTTTCTACAGCCGTGCTACAGGTGAAGGCACTGCAAGCATGCTGGCATGTGACAAAGAGGCAGGCTTGACTGGCTCTCTTCAGCTCTACATGAGTTTCTTCTTGGAGTCTCTAGACTTCAGTTTGTTTCTGCGTGTGAATTAAGTTGCTGGTTTGTTGTTTCTGCGCATTGAGAATTGGCAACCTTAGAAACCCGGTGAGACTGTGAACTGACTGCAGAAGTCATCATCAGTACATGTATCCTGATGTGGCTGTCTGGGGACTTTGGAAGGTCATTTTCTGTCTGGAAGATGGGCACAGATTTCATTTCTTTCAGGACACTAAACACTTGCGTGAGACACTTGAGGGGAACGTTCATACTGCCTACCTTTGCTGTCCGGGACCTCTGCACTTCCAGACACAGCACAGTGTCTACGAGAGAAGTAAGCCATAAATATATATATCCTATAGCCATCTCTAAGGGGTGCTTGAGTCAGTCCACTTTCTGCTCCACCTACAGGCTCCTGTGAACATATCTATGCTGCCAGAGGGTTGTATTTTAAGGTCACACCCAAATTATGAGGCTTCACCTGGCATGCACACATCATCATTAAGCCAGCCCATGAAACTTCATAGGCAGAATAAAGAAGCATAATTACATTTGCTCCACTCATTGAAGAAATAATAATTCCTTTGATGGATGAATTCAGGCCATCAGTCTTTCCGTTGAATCCCACCCAGTAAGATCTATTTTCTAAAGATCGAGATGCTTATCTTTTTGAAGAAGTCATAAGCATCAACTGACATAGTGAGATTTGTTTTACAAAATTATCTTCTCTCTAGAATATTAAAGTTTTCAACAATAAGAGTGACAACTGAGATCCCACCACAAAGATCACCAGTTTGCTTTGAGCATGCAAAAAAACAAACAACACAAACAAATGTCAATCAGAGTGCTTTAAATAAAAGCTGTACATTCTTCTTCTTTCAAATTTGGCTTGCATGGCTTTTATACATAAAATGTTTGGTACATGTTAGAATAAATCCCTTTCTTATTATTTCCTATATAACAGCACCCTATTCTGTTGGGTCTTCTTCCAACAGGAATGTGGCACTAGGACCTGGAAAGTACATATTCTGTAGCTCTTGTCCCCAGAGACCTACTTATCTCCTTAATTAAATACATTTTTGTACTGATTTGGGGGGTGGGGTGGGGTGGTCATGTCTTACGTGACATTCAAGATACAAAATAGAACATAAAGCCCAAGTAGAAAACCAAAATATGCACAAATTACCAAGGTGAAAAAGGAAGTGTCTCCTTGTGCTGCCATCTCATTTTTCAAATGGATATGGAAACTGCATTAAAGGAGACAGGCTACAACTAATAAGCTCAGCAGAAGTGGAGGAAGGTCTTGGTCTTCTAAATATACATACGGAACTCATCAGTCCAACATTCTCCTAATCACTGTAAGAACTTCAACCCGAGATGAAAAATAACCTTGAGACATACAAGACAACAAAGCAGAAAGCATGAAAATGGTAGTAAGAGATACGAGGCAACTGCAAAGCAACAGATGCTAATCAATCAAGTGGGTAAAAAGTGCATTAACGGAGAACGAGTATAAGATGAAGGTAGAGATGTTAACTTCTGTTAAGCAGTGCTGACCCGAAACAGTAACTGAGGCACCTGAGAATTGAGACAGAAGTCTTGTTTAACCGCATGGCTTTTCAGTGGCCTTCAGTCTCGACCTGCTCTGTCTGCTGAACAACTTCCTTTATCAGCAATGTTTTAAACACCTTTGTTCTGTGTAAGCAAATAAAATATACTGTCTTCCTCACTGGCAGATCTGCAGCATAATCAACGCTCTTTAGATACTTACAACAAAAGTCTTTCCAAAGACCACAAATAAAGAATACAACACCAGTAGCCTCTTGTCTACTGATATAAGGTCATTTTTTGTTTTAAATTATATCAACAGACTGATTTCCTTCCTATATGCTATGAGCTTGTCAACAAGAAACTGATCATCTTGTGAAAATATTCATGGCATTCCTGTATTCCACCTTGAGTTAATGTTCACGGTTTTCCATTTAGCAGACTAATTCCTGGTTTCTTCAAGACAAGTCCAGCCTGGCATGCAGCTGATATGGTAAAATCTGTGCACATCCTTGCTCAGCACAGAGGATGAATTCTCCTTCAGGTGTCCCAACAGTCCATTCCCCAACTGTGTTCTGCAGATTCACAAAGGGATGCAGAAGACAGCAAGGGTTCATTGTTCCAATGTCTTTGGTGGTGACAGGTCAAGTCTTTACACCTTACTCTAAGTAACCTTGCACCAGCTTCTGGAGAACTTACAAGTTTTTCATATACCTTTGTTTCTAGTCCCACTTTGATTTTACCACTGGTGGTAAACACCTATACCCAAGTTGCATTCCTGAGCATGGCATCTGCTTTGTCACACACGCTCTTGCTAAAAAGCAGCTGCACTCTCCAGTAAACTGCAACTCGATTCTTACCTTGCTGAAACTCATGCCCACTGCCACACTGTTCATGTGGATTGCTGCCTGCCCACCTGCTGCTTCAGTCCAGCCTTAGAGTTCCTTTCTTGAGCAACCCTACCCTACCTGGGCAGCCAAATCTTCAAAATCAAAGTTGGAAAGCAGGTCCGCACAGAACATTCATGACAGAGTATTTTACTTGACAGAAAAGTCTGCTCAGGTAGACAAGAGGGCTTATTTTAAACAGCTAACATACCAGCACTGTATAGATAGAGTCTCAAAGCAAGCAAAGAGAAAGTGCTACTTTTTTATTTTTCATGGAGACTAGCCAACCACAGCTGTTTATTTCTAAAGCTCCTGCAGAACTCTTTAGGAAAATCTAGTGCTTATTTTACAGCTGTTCTGTGGGTTTCTTCACTCCCTTGTACTGGGTCAGAAGATGCTCCACTGCAGCAATGACTGACCCTTTCCAAAACATCCACAGGTGTTGACCAAAAGACATCCCTGCACTATGTCAACAAAGTATTTCTGCCAAGAAATTAACGGAGAGGCCAAACTGCAGATTTCTTGCTGGCAGCATGCTGCGAGTAGGGAGCAAGCCAAGGAAAGGGCAGCTCTGCCACATTCTCCCTAGAGACGTCCAAACAAGGAGCTGACATCTAAAACCCTCTCAATAGCGTAAGCAACACACGCTGCTGAAAAGCTGCCAGGCTTTTATTCGCCAGAAAACCTCCCAGGTATAAGTGAGACATTAGCTCCGGAAAAAGCACAGTGCCGCTCAAGATAGGCGGAATGGCTTTGCAAAACCGCAGCCCGATTCAAGCGGGAAAACGTTTAACACCGGTGAAAACTGCATAAACCAAAAAGTGCACCGAATTACAGAGAAATGTATTCTCCTTCCACTAGGGGGCGTTCAGCTGCCAAAAACAACCAAAAGTTATTGCGGCGTACGCAAAGCCCACTGAAATCACGTTAAAAAAAAAGAAAGAAAGAAAGAGAAAAAAAGCTATTCCGTGGAGACAGAAAACTTTCTGACAGCGGGGGCAGCTGGGCGGGAGCGGCCGGCCCT